TACGTTCAGGTGTACGTACACTGGATGTACTTTTTCACCGTATTCGGTGTCCCCCTGTGCGTGCTAGTGTTGTTCAACAGCTGCATCGTGCACACGATTGTGCGAGCCCACCAGCAGCGGTGCCACATGTCCATCTCGGTGCTCAGGCAGCACCGGCTGGCCGTCATGATGATCATGATCGTCGTCGAGTTCTTCGTCTGCAATTCACTGGCGTTCGTGCTGAACGCCCTCGAGGCCGGCGGATACTTCAACGGCGTCACCGAGAACATGGCGCTCTTCTACTTCCTCATGGACATCAACAATCTGCTGATCGAACTCGATTCGAGCACCAACTTCATCGTCTACATGATCTTCTGTCGCCAGTTCCAGAAACGCTTTCTGTGCATCTTCAAGGCTGTCAGACCGCCGCCCAGTGAATCAGTTACCGTAACGTTCAACAACAGCTCCAGGCGGCTGCTCCTGAAACACCGCAGCGGTCACTATTTAGTGTTTTGGCCAAGACGGTGCCCGTTCAGGGATTCCTGATTCCGACGCAGACCGTAGCCTCTGCACTCGGCGGCCGTTCCCGACGGGTGGTGCAACCGAAATGCCCGTCAAGCAAAGTTTCGAACAACTGCGTACTTCGCCTGCTTCGTTTTGTTAACCTACTGACTTAAATTAAAAGGGGTTTGCTTCACAGGCTCAAGTCAAGTTTCATGCCTGGCATGAGCTGACAGAAAGTGCAAACCGGTGCTTGTTACGTGCGTATAGTTTAAGGCGTTTCTTCAGCCATCAGATACATACAACCGTAACTGCTGAAGATTCTAGCAGGCGCTCCATTCTGGGCACGACGCCGTAGAAAACTCATAAACATAAGTTATGATGTATGATGCAGCAAGAGGGAAGTATCGAATATATAACTGCATTTATATAACTGCGAGACACGAAGTAGCCAGTAGCCAGTGGTCTCGATAAGCCGGACGCTGGAATCAAGAAACAGCCTCATGGTAGCAGAAGGACGAACACGACAATGTCCATTCTGCTTGCAAGATAACCGGCGAGTACGGACGTGAGTACGTGGCATAAAACTCCTGTGATAGTCGGTCTAAAATAAGTGAAATGTCGACTAACGGCAGATAATTTCTGATTGATTGATTCTTGGTACTTTTGTCACAAAATATGTAAAAATAGAAATTCCGTAGAACAAAACATCCATGCAAGATTGAAGATCTTCCTATTTAGGGAGCTGCACGTACGCCTGAAACCGGATTTTCTACATAGATCTACGGCTATCGTCTGATCCTTGGCTTATCGGCTATGATTCATCGTGCTAAATCCATAACTGAATCTTGTTTTCTCCTTTGCGCATGCAGCATCCGGTTTTTCTTAATGTCTGTTTGTCAGTACGTTCATGAAAATCTTGTAGATAATTGGTCTTCAGGAGGCTTTGGTTAACCGGAAGCAAACATTCTAAAATCTTTGTACAAGACACTGCATTCTTCTTCATCTGTTGGGTCATTCGGTTAAAATCTTTGTGCTCTCAGTACTATGACGATTCCTTGACTACACCAAATAGGAGGAGAGAGAAGATGAGGACTAGATCAGGATAAGTAACACAGAGGAAAAAGTAAACCAAAATTACATTTATTACCACGATTGTTTGAGTGTACAGTGAGCACGGCAGTGCTACGTGCTACGGACATGAGAGACCATTTCTGGTATTCAAACACTATCGCCGACATCAGTTCGCAGCTTCAGTACGTACACACCATATCTGTGCATCAAGGTACGTGGTGAATGCATGTATTTGCTTGCATATAATGAATCGATGTATCAAGGTGCATATAGACGTAAATTTATGCATTTACGTGCATATAAGTGCATATGTATGTACTTAAGTATATGTACATAGATGTGTATGCGTACATGTATATAGTGCGCAGTGAATGTATGCATTTACACGTATATAAATGTATGTAATGAATTTACGTATATGTTTTAATTTCTATATAGACGTCCATATATACATGCGTAGAGATACGCAGTGAATGATTCTATTTATTTTTTTATTTTTTCTTTATTTATTTTGAATCTTGAAGGACAGTGCCATACCTGACAAAAATCGTTTCGGTACTGGAACAGATGTACACAGGAACGATGTCTGTGGTGAAACTAAAGGAGAGGTAGCTGAGTGAT